AAGTATAAAAAAGCAAGCATCAGATAATTCAGCTGCCTTTTATGTTTAGCTTATAAGATCAAAGGCAGCAAAACTCCAATTTGAAGCACTTTTTCTGAGCGCCTAACATTTTCACAAAGTGAGTTTATTGGTTAGGTGGAAGAGATGGAGTGTTGGTTTACTTTATCCGCTCTATATACTTTCTGCACTAAACAAAGAAGAAGGATCAAGTTGTAATATTCCTTTGCAACATACTTTCTATTATAATCCTGTATTGATGGGACCTTTTGTGACTACATATGAAAACTTTGACCTTATCAAAATGTCTTATCAGCCGAAGCATATACCTATAAAGCATCTTTACAAGATCTAGCTCTTCGTTTCAGTTTTCAACTAAGGAAAACAACGCCAAACCTGTGATCCAATAAACCAAATGTACTTTATAGCAGATATTTTGAAAATGTAACTTAAATGGAGCCTATCGCAAGTCCAAGTCTGATTTCTCACTTGTCCTGTGCACATTGATACACTATTTTGGTTGTCTGTACAGGTTCTGCAATAGCAGAGAAAATAATTTTAAAGTCACAGTGCTAAAACCTAGAAATAGTTTGTTGTAGATAGAGAAGGAGAGAGAAAAATCAAAGAGCAATGGTCCGTTATTAAATTCTTCGCTCCGATCTTTAGTTCTAGCCGTGTGTGTGTGTGTGTGTGTGTGTGTTTGCTGACCACTCCTCAGACCTACCATTCCCGGTGAGTCCTGCCTGTGGCCTCAGGCATTGCAATTCAAGCATGCAACAGACTGAGATGACGTCAGAAAAAAAGAAAGGACAATAGTTCATTGTAGGAAGGGACTCATTTCTGAAGACACAAAGAATAGTGGCAAGCATGCATACAGTTCAGAAGAAATAAAACCATTTTGCAGAAATGTCTTTGCACAGTGCACCAGGTTGGTCTGACACCATCCCCGCATTTTTGAAAGATCTCTGTCAAAAGGGCTGGGGTTATGAATGTATGTCAAAAAGTAATTTAGGAAAACAGAAGTTGAAGAAGATAGAAATTACTCCAACTTCATACCTAAATAATTCTGTAAACAATGTTCAGTGGTAAGGAAGAGGAAACTCAAAATGAATGACAGGAAAAACTACAAGCTGGTTTTCATTTTGCAAGAATAGCTTTTCTTGTGCTTCCACTGTTTGGCCTGTCATTTGAATCTTTTCAAATCATTGACTTAAATAAAAAACTAAAAAAAAAAAATACAAGGAACCATGAGGATAGGTTCTGACCCTGTATCTTTCAGCCTGTGCAGGCCCATGAAAGGTCAGATTTGCTAAGACCAGCACAATGGGTTCGCCCAGGGCAGGTTTCTGGAAGACAGCGCATCTGCCTGCTCCTCCCTGGTGCCTGTTCTGGGGCTGGCAGCCTGCAGGCATGGGAGACACAAGGGGAGAGTGTGCATCTCATCCTGGTCGACTGCATGCCACACTGGTCTAAACTCTGAGCAAGTGCCACTTAACAAGACTTGCAAAGCAAATTTCCTGGTTAGGTGTAGACAGAGTGCTAGGTTTGGATGGAGTGTTAACTGATGTATTGGATATATCTATACCAAACCAGCGAGCTCATCTGAAGGAGGAGGAGAACAATTGACTCCTCATGGAGAAATAATTTAATGCAACATGAAATCATTGTGTTGATGGCTATAGGCTGCTTCTAAGATTTAACTATGATGAATTGTGAACTAGCTCACAAAAGTCTCAGAAAATGAGGCTAGTATTGAGCAGCCATTCACCAGTGGTTGAACTGGTGCCAAACTCTGCACATTTGAGTGTGTTGGCTCTATCCCTACAGGTGGGTGAGCTTGGTAGGCCACAGCAACTCTGTGCCTCAGTTTCCTTACCCCTAAAATGGGAATAATGGGAGCACCGGCTTGTTGGAAATTGTGAGGAATGCATGAATTAATATATATACAACTCTAAGAACGTGACACATGGTAAGTTCTCATTAAAATCTTAGCAATTATAATCATTGGGGTATGAATTGGCAAGTGGTTTTACCTATCTCATAAAGTTTTGGAAAGTTTATATAAGACAATTGTAAAAATACTTGGCAATACTTCTAGTTCATATCAAGTACTTGCAGTTAGAAACAACTCCAGTGACTATCCTTACGATGATTATTAGCATGTCCCTATGCTGACTAGGGACTCGGGGTGCAGCTCAGTAGAGCTCATGCTTAGTAGCACATGGGGTGCCCAGTTTAGCCCACAGCACTGCCAAAGGGGAGGAGGGAGGCTTACACTCTACTGACTAGTTCTTTACTGAATTTGCAACTGATTTTGACATTTCTTCTGTGACTTAATATTAGCAATTAATTAGATGTTCTCAGGAGTTGGTAAAAACAGCATTTGCACCTATGGCTGATAAAAAAAAATATGGCCTGAAAAAGATTATAATAATACAATTAAAGAAAAAACAAAATGTATTAGCCTTTCTGGAAATGTCTTTACTATTTTCCAACTCTGTAGCCCAATTTTCTGCGTTTCCACTGTTTTGTCATATGAGTTAAAGACATATTTATTTCCTTCAAAGTAGTTTGAGTCAGTCTCCTGGTATTCAGCTAAATAAATGCTGGTATTTTGGAACAGTATCTGTTGACACAAATATATTTGGCATCACCGAGGAATTTAAAACTACAGACGGTGTCATGATCCCTTAAGTTTCCAAGAACAGTATTACTACTGACAAGAAGCACCAATAAAAAGTTTTATGCTGGCATTTCTACACTATATATGAGGGAATGTCAGTTTTTGGCCAGCAATGGCAGGTATAAAGATTAAATGATAGTTTTGCAAACACTCTTAATGTACATTGAGTTTGCTCAAGAAAATATGCATGAGAATCTGGTAAGATATGCAGCAGGACCTGTGTAGTATTTTATGTACCTTCTATCTGATTTGGGAATGGTGCTTTGGGGATAAAATCCATTTCCTCACTCACTTTGTCCCAAAGGCATATCTGATTCACACTCAACCAGGAAGATAAGAATCCATGCTTCAGATTTTGTTTTGGTTGTGCCCCATATATTTCTAGGCTAGAAAATTCCCTCATGGTCAAATTTAACTGAAAACCAAAGAATTCAGAAAACTGGACTGGGAAGTACATGGTGGCCCTGGGGCTTCTGCAATAACATTTCCTTTTTTAAAGAAGTAACACGAGGAAGACCTTAGTACTGAATAACCAGACTTTGTCACCCTGCCTGGGTTTCAGGTTTTCGCAGTCTTTCAGAGGTCAAGAGAGGCACTGGCCACTTCCCATATGAAACAAACAGAAAGAGAGAGAGAGAGGAGAGAGAGAGAGAAAAAAAAAGAAAGAAAGAAAAAAAAAAAAGAGAAAATTACACCACAAATAGGTGACAAAAATTGTGGTCTATTTTAAATGTCAATATGTAACAAGTAAACAGTTTCAACACATTCAACTCTTCATGCCATTCCTGGAGTAATTAAGAGCTGTTGAGGGTAATTAAGAGTTTTCTTTTTGGTACCCTTTGTTTGAAGGTCTCTTTTGTAACTATAGGGATGACTCGCAGCACTGAAGCCCTTTGTGGAAGTGGACCCCCCGGGTACGTGGCCTTCCTTGGGAGGTTGCTTCTTATAGCAGAGTGCCGGCACTTGGAAATGTCCAGCATGCACAAAGAGTTATCATAGCCTGCCTTTTTAATGTCAAGGGAGCAGCGCTGGCACAGCTACCAATGCCATCAGTTTCATCTTTCCAGTTCACATGCTCTGAGTTTTCAAGAAAGTCAGAACAGCCCAGAGCAGAAAGACAAGTGTGCGGAGATAGAGCCCATCTGCCTTGTGCAGGTGGGGCTTGATGGAGAGAACGTGGAGCAGCAGGAAGCACAAACAGGTACCTACGCCCTGAGAAGTTCCGGATGAGGACTCTGTCCGTGAGACAGGACTCTGCTCAGAACAGAAGAGGGGTCTGAAGAGCAAGGCACACCTGAGAGGAGCGCTCTGCTCAAAGCTGGGTCTGCCCCTTGCCTGCGTTATTTCTCAAGCAGTCCTTGCTTCTGACTTGATAGCAGCAGTGTCAAGCTGAGTGGAGCAGAGATCATTTTGTTTCCCAGCCCGACCTGTGGAGATTGTGCACTTCCCTAACATTCAGTTTTCAGATATCAGAGGAGACTAACATTTCAGCAACCCTAAAGGGACTCCAGGAGGGGAGGAACATCCGTGAGCAGAACACTGGCCAATGGCAGTTGGTATCAGTAAGCTGGAAAGGCCTGAGCACTGACAGCTTGCTGTCAGGCAGAGGGAGATGAAGCAGATGGGAGGGGAAGGGAGAGCACCCAGCTGGCCTTAAAATGGGGAAAGAGAAGTTCCACCAAGCGACTCCTTAAGAAAGATGTGGAAAGATCTGAAGCTGGCTTATGCAAAATGATGGCTTGTCCAGGTTATTAGGGTGGCCAAGTGGGATAATATAAGGTTAAGAGCTTAACACTTGGGCCATGGAGCCTAGATCTCCATGCATCTCCTCCCAAAATTTTAATGTTCACTGCTCAATATTTAATTGATTAACAGGAAGGTTATAAACTGTCTGATCATCTGGTCTGGGCTCTATCCAAGAACCTCTGTAAAACATTAGGGCCAATGGCTTTCCGGAGTTCCCCTGGACGCCTCTCCTTCCCCCTAGAACACACTGAGAAGTCTTTCTCAAGGCCTGTGCGGACTGAGGACACAGTGGAACCTGATGCCTCTTCTGTGCCCATCTCCCTCCAACCTGCAGACATCCTTGGCTTTCCTTAAGGCAAAGGTTCTGCTGTGAGTCTGTTCCCCAGATGCCTATAGGCAGAGCTGTACCCTCTCACTAATTCAGGCCTGTTTATGTGCCTCTGATTAATCTGCTCAGACGGGGCTGGGGATATAGCTCAGTGGCACAAGTGCCTGCCTGGCAAGTGTGAAGTCCTGAGTTCGATTCGCAGTACAAAAAAAAAAAAAAATCTGCTCGGACTGCCATACAGGGTACCCAAACTTAAAAAATAGATATTTTATTCTTGCAGCTCTGAATGTGGAAGCCTAAGATGAAGGTGCCTACAAGACTGGCTATTCTGAGGCTCTTGATGGAGGGATCTGTTCCAGGTCTCTCCCTCTGGATTGCAGACATCAGTTTCTTCTGTGTCTTCACATGTTCTCTCCATGCATCTGCTCCCAAACTTCCTGTTAAAAGGACCCAACTCAATGATTTCTTTTTTTCTGAACCACCGTAAAGACCCTATTTCAACCACAGCCACACTCTGAGGTTCCTGGGGTTAGGACTCCAACACAGAATTCTGGCGGTGGGTACACACAACACAGTCCCTAGCGGCCTCTTACTAGGGAGCAGTGCTCCTATTAACTGATCAACACCTATTCATTTATCATTTCTTCTTTTTTTTTTTTTTGGTACCGGGAATTGAACTTAGGACTTTGAGCTTGCCAGTATTCATTGTTTTTGAAGGTCTCTCTTTGTTTAAATATCAACCTCAGGGCCAAATTCTTTATTATGTTAAGTGCATAGCTCCAGTGTCTAGCTCACTGCTTTCAGAGTAGCAGGCCCTTGATGAATATTCATGAGTGGATAAATGCATATTGTAAAATCATTACCAATTGCTTACAAAAAAGTAATCACAGAGAAAGCTCTTCCAGGTACATTGTTAAGCAAAGAAAACAAATTACAAAAGCTGTATGGGTAGCATAGCATTATTCCTAAATCACACACATATAATTTATTTTTATAAAAACAAAACTTAGAGAAATATGCAACAAAATACTAATAGCAGATGTGCTTCGGGTGAGATTTTGATTTAGTTTTCTCTTGTTTATCATGTATTTCTCTACAGTGAATGTACTTTTGTAAAACTACAATTTATTAAAAGTTAGATATTTTGTCATCACTTTTAACTGGCTATTAAGAAAAAGCATACATTATTTTCCTTTTTCAGTGGGGAATGGTGGGAAACATGGTGTGACTGAAATAATGGTCTATGGAAATGCCCAGCCTGGAGTCAAGTCCTCGCTTGCCACTTTGTAAGTTGCATTTATAGTGAGTCTTCATTTTTCAGCTATGAGGTCAGGTAATAATCGCACCCTCAGCATATGGGGCTGCTTCCAGTCTCTGGCCCAGACTAAATTTCATTCTTTCTATCTGAATGATCTGGAAAAGACAGGACACCAAGGGTCAGAGACCCGTCCAGTGGTTTGGTTGTTTTACTCCCTTTCCGGGGCAGGTCAAGCAATACGCAGCTACCCTTCACATCGCCTCTGGGCCTAGAGCTTGGACTTGGGGTGGCAGGGCATAGGCACCAAATGTCAGGGGCGCCACAAAAACTTAGCAATCCAGAAAATAATAGTACAATATTTTTAAAATATAAATTTTGTAAAAATCTGTAATGAACAAGATATCAACAATTTCAATAAGGACAGGAAAGTATTACTGCTCTTTACTTTGTCTCAGACTCCATTCTGAAAAGCACTTCTAGCCTATGACCCCAAGGTAGGAGACTATCAATTATGCTAATCATGACTAATTACTTCTTAACTATAATTAATTATGTAAACCATCCTGCACCTCAGAACCAACATTGTTCACTCTGGGATTGTGTTTAACCTTCAGCGAAGGGCCTCTTAGGGTACCAGTGAGGGAATATACATTTTTCTGACTTTGTTTATTCCTTTATCCCATATATACTACCTAATTGCAGCTCTTTTACACCACTGGGGACTCTCAGGGGCAGGACCCATCCTACTCTTTTATAGAAACATAAAATGCCAGCAAAGCATGATTTCTACCCAAAATCACACTAAGCAGGCTTCGCAGATGTGGCAGACCCCTCTTCTGTGCTTCTGGAGCACAAGTGACCTTGGCCTGTCCTGCTTGGAACATGGGCACTAGTCAGCATCCCACTACTCCCCAAGAGGAGCGACCTTTCTGTGGTGAGGTCAGGCAGGTCTTTGACCCCAGTTGAAGGTTTCCCTGAGAGACTTTCATATCATCCCTTCGTGGGATTTTTCGGGGTATTAGTTTACCCACGTGTAAAGTATTTCACAGTATATACATCCCATTGTTAAAAGCAGTAGCAAAAGGTGCATTTAAAATCTTGTTTTGTGTAATAGTTTTATTTTACAAAAGACTTGTCTTTTGCTGAAACCATAATTTCTAAGTTGCTTTGTAAAAGCACTTATTAAAAAAGTGATATTCTTAGCATATACATTTCAGAAAATTTCCATGTTTTCAGTTTGATTTAATGTGTGGAATGTCACAGGATGGCTTACCCTATGGAAATGTTTCTGAAAGTACCTGTAGAAATCTGTGTTCTGTGTAGCCACTAAAAAACCCAAAGGCTAATGGTGGAAGGGGTTATTTAGATACAATATAGTACACAAAATTTAGATTTGGTTACAGTAATTTTAGCATAATCCAGTGTAAAGTAGTGATCCAGATGAACTTCATAATGGTGAAGAAATAGGCTTTTTTGTTTTGTTTTGTTTTGTTTTGTTTTGTTTTGTTTTGTTTGTCTTTTTGAGACAAGCCCTTGCTATGCAGTTCAGGCTGACCTTGAGCTCACTTTGTAGCCCAGGCTGGCCTCGAACTTGCAACGATCCTCCTGCCTCAGCCTCCCGAGTGCTGGGATTACAGGCGTGCGCCACCACGCCCAGCAAGGCTTTTTTTTTTTTTTTAATCTTTAAGTGAAAGAATGTAGCTCACCACAACTCTCCTTCCTCAGAGTTTTGGGATGAATGTGTTTACTGGAAACGTGGACTGCATTGGTATTACATAGCTGTGTTCTGTAGGGAGTCTGGCTAGTTGAAGGGCACTATGATGTGAGAGATGATGTCCAGCCTGTCCCAGATGTTTCGGACTTCACAAACCAGGGATCTGATTTGTGAAACCATCGGGGACATTCCAGCCTCAGAGATATGCCATGGACCGGAACTGGGCAACCTAGGAGCTACCAGAACTGGCAGTCCAGGCACACAGCCTCAGGGAGCCATGTTGGCTGTGTCGAGGCCCTTGCAGCTGAGGCCCCATGATCCTGGCACAGGCGCGAACGGTCTCCTCTGTGTCCTCCCTAATTTCCTAATCCCAGGTCATGAACATGGCGGAGGGGGTGCTATACTTAATGTTGGAATTTTTTTTAAAAAGCATTGTTCTGCCATGGAGGGGTGTCTAACAGGGGTGTCAGAGAAGAAAACAATCATCACACAATGTGATGCAGTGTTGTAAGGGCTTACAGAAGAGACTGATTACACCCAAGATGTGGAGAATCTCACAGCCTTGAGGGAAGCACTGCAGAGGAGGGCATGCTCCATGCAAACCTCAGAAAATTAATAGAAGCTTCCCAGATGGCCACGCTGGACCAGCTACACGGTTTCCAGTTCTGGATTTTGAGCTAATTCTCTGCCTAGAAATAGTAAGACAGAGCTGGTTTGGACATTTGGGCTTTTATCATTACCATGGTCTCAGACTCTTTCTTGTTCCAGTCAGGGCAGAGCCCTGATTGTGCAGTCACTCTACTGTCTTCATGGGCATATTGTATTTCACCCCTATGGCCAGCGCACCCAAGAAGGAAGTGCTCAGTGAAGGTGCAGCATTATTCATTAGGGCCTTGTAAAGGGCGCCTTCCAGAAGCCAGGCCCACTCAGCAGGAGTCCAGACCCTTGCCTCCATTAGATGCAGCCTAAGTTGTTGGGTGTTACGGTTTTTTATTGTTTATAGTGCTTCCTATGCCTGTGTCTGCTAAGATGAGGTTCATGGCCTCTACCTTCATCCAGATTGCTGTCCTTAGGGACGGGTATATAGCTCAGCGGCACAAAGCACCTGCCTGGCAAGCACGAGGTCCCAAGTTTGATTCTTGGTACAAAAAAAAAAAAAAGGAAACTATTTTTTGGGCCAGGGATATAGCTCAGCAGCACAAGCGTCTGCCTGGCAAGCACAAGGTCCTGAGTTCAATTCCTGGTACCAAAAAAAAAAAAAAAAAAAAAAACAGATTGCTGTCCTTATCCCTTTGGACAGAGACATTCTAGAGGTACTTCAGAGGGGACTCCATGAAGTGAAGAAAAACATTGTTTTACCAGTAAGGCAATAGAGCCACTATGGGGAATATATCATAGCCTGATATCTATGAACTTTATTTCTAGGATACAAACCTGGATAAAAAGATTTCTTTAAACTTTTCCCTTCTGTCAAGTTGAAGGAAACTCCTCCTCCTCACCCTTTTTTCCTCTTCCTCCTCCTCACCTCCTCCTCCCGCCTCTTCTAGCACTGTTTTTCTAATGTCAGCCTGATTTGAAGAGGCTGCTGTCAAAAAGACTCCTAGAAGAAACCAAAGCAACATGTTACATCCTTGCCAGAAAATGGTTCTAATGTAAGAGAACTTTGGTCAGCCTAGCCAAGCATTGCTTTTAAATGAGAAGTTGATGCATCTTATAAGGACTAAGATATTACACGAACACAAGAAGTGTGGGGGGAAATCCCTATCCTTCTAGGACAGTGACAAGTCTGGGAGAACAAACAGGAGTAAATAGGAATAATATGATTTGAACTGAGCAAGAGTTTTACGTGAAGTACGGGATGTGTGGGGAGTGGAGCACTGGCAGGATTAGGGGGAAACAATGGACACCATTTCTTTGTCTCTTCATACTTGGTCTTGTTCCAGCAGGGACTGCGCAGTGAGCTGACTTCCTGGGTGAGTGGAAGGGGCAGCTCTCTCAGGAAGCTTCCTGCCACAGACAGTGTGCTGGCAGGGTCTGTAGGGCTGGGAGAAGAGCAGGCAGCTGTTTTAGAAAACCAGGCACCTGAACACCACACTTCCTTCCTCACTTGCAGCTGATCTGCCGAAGTAGCAGTAGGCTGAGAAAGATTTTGGACTTTTTATAGCACCTGACAAATGGAGTCAGAAGCAAACCTTATGAGACAGAGATGAGTAAAATGCCTGAAAAAGCACTAGAAAGTTTTTAGTCTCACTTAAACCTGAAGGCTTCCCTAGAGTTTAAATCCCCTGATGTTTGAAACTCGGTTCTACCCCGCAAAGAGCCACTATGATAGCAGACACTTAGGACTAGACGTCCCCTAGCCCATGAGCACTCTCTGCCCCTGTGATGTGCCACACCGACATGCTTTTAATTCTTTTTTTCAAAGCATCACTTCAAATAAATTAGCATTCTCATCTCAACTGACTCACTTGGCAAAAACAAACTCCATAAACTGTGAGGAGAATAGTTGAGAAGTGGAAAAAGGCAGGTGGAGGCGGCACTGCACAGTTTTCTGAGGTGTGAATGCCAGCACCACTGAATGCCCCGTTCACTGAGAAACTCAGACTGTAGTGCTTTGAAGTTGGGAATGAGAGAAGTTATTCCTCTTCATATCGGGTATGATAATAATTCTTAAATTTTTGTTCACAGTCTACTTTGAGAATATGATGATGATATAAACTCTGTCCAGAAAAACTACATATATATATATATATATATATATGATTTACTCACAAAATCCCATTCTATAAGAGCTAGTTATGGCCCCAAAAATAGAAACCAAAGTCAGAACAAACAAAAAATAACCCTGATCACTTGCCATAAAATCTTCTTGCCGCTAACCTAGATTCATTCTATAGTTTAAGCCTCTCTCTACTTTTTCTATCCTCGTAGCTTGAGATCATTATAAAATTTCTTGTATAAGTTTTCAAATATACTTTCTACTGGCTTAGAATTTTATTATGCTCACTTTTGCTTTAAACTGAAACTTTCCTAATCTTTCCTTATAGATGGCAGGATAGAGAACTGGTTGCTTTCCAATATCTAGTTGTTCCTTCTGTGTTTATTGTCTAAAATTTATGTTGCCCAAGCCTCCCTTGCAGCTAGATGTGGCCATCTTTCTAAGCTGTAAACCAGTAGTGTGTAAGCATCACACTTTGTGAATGTGCTGAATAATCTTCCTTCTCCTTCCCTTCCTCCACTCTGAAGTTTGGAATGAAGACATTGTAGCTGGGAGAGTGGAAGCAATGGGCAATACCACCTATTGAGTCCTCTGGTAGAAGATAAGGTTCATGAGAGCGGGAACTTTATTTATCTCCATCAAAAGAACAACCTCAACACTTAAACAATGTGTGACACGTACTAAGTATCTTAGCACAAACATTAGTGAATGAACAGATGAATCAGTGAGTTTAACCAGGGCCCTATAGACAAAGGCTCAGTTTCTACAGACGGAAACTCTTGCTTAATTCAAATCATATTATTTCTGTTTACTCCCCTTTGCTCTCCCAGAATTGTTGCTGTTACAGAAGGATGGGAATTTTTTTCTTCCTTAATGCTTTCCAGTGAAAACAAATGCTTTCCCTGAAAATAGAAGGTCTTCAAAGCAATGCTTGCAGTATCTTTCTGCTTAGCAAGTTGTAAATTGTTAAGCTTTCAAGGTCATGTGTATCTATTTTTGTGTATGTCTGTTAAATGCGCGCACTATTTTGGAACTTGATCTTAAATGTCTTCTCAAAGAATCATTCCAAATGGTACCTAATGACATTCCTAGCATTTCAGATGCCATTGCTGCTATTATCACGGCGCGCAGTCACTAGATCCTGAGGACTTAACTAGGTGTTGGTTCCTGCCGCTGAACTTCTCCAACACCGTCTCATTCACTATAATTTGCCACACTTTAAAAATTATGTGTTTTTGTCCCTGAACATTGGTGGAATCTCTTAAATAGAAATAAATTAGAAATCACCTCTGCTTTCCTGCTTTTTGAAATGACTTTTTCTTTTTCTGGTTCAGAGGATAGCACTTCTTCTTGCCATTTTTGTGAACTCTTAGGTGTTTGTAAATGTTCACGCTTTTTGCAGCTACACATCATTTTCTCCCCAATGTCCTTTTACTCTCCCCCCAAATTTATTTGCTATTTCTTTTAAATATTTGAAGGAAATAATTAGTCCCGTCTTCCACCTTGGTGACATACTTGTCTGTACTTGAGTTCCTTGTGTTTTGCTCAAGTTTCTCTTTAATTTATCCATAGAGGGAGACACCACAGTCAAACCTCTGGATCCATGGGTTCTGAATCTGTGGGTTAAACCTACTGTGGATTGAAAATATTTGAAAAATATTGCTTCCGTATGGAGCATGCACAGACTTTTTTGCTTGTCCTTTTTCTATAAACCATAGAGGATAATATGTATTCCTGTAGCATTTATGTTGTATTATGTATACATTAATATTTTTTGTCTCTTTTTCTTTATCTTTTTTTCTTATTTTTCTGCCAGCAATAGGTTTTATTTATTTAAAGTCTTTATCAAGTTAATTATCATAAACACATATTAACAGCCAAACTAGCAGATCAAAAGCATATAAAACACATAAAATAATTATATTAATCAAGGTACACTTTTAGATATATTGCCCATGTTGGATTACAATAACTTTTTTCTTTCTTTTCTTTCCTACTGTCTTTTATTTTATACTTTATATATTCTCTTTTTAAATATATATTCTCATACATAAGAGAAACCATGCAATATTTAAGCAGGTATGTTTGATTTACTTCACTTAATATTATAGTCTCAAGATGTACCCATTTTCCTACAAATAATTTAACTTTATCCTTCTTTATGGCAGAGTAGTACTCTACTTTCTTTATCTGCTCATATGTTGATTGACATATGGGATACTTTCAAGATTTATTATTAGCTATTATGAATTGTGCTGCTACAGACATGAGTATGCATCTATCCTTGTAATATGATGTCTTTAACTCTTTCAGGAACATACCTGGAAGAGGAATAGCTGGGTCAAATGCAATTTCTAGTTTTAGTTTTTTGAGGAATCACCACACTGTTTCCATAATGGTTATACTAGCTTACATTCCCAGCAACAATGGAGAAGCATTTTTCCTCATAGCTTCTCCAGCATTTATTTGATTTCTTGATGATAGCCATTCTTTCTGGAGCGAGATGGAATCTCAGTGTTGCTTTAACTTGTACTTCTCGAATGGCCAGTGATATTCAATGTTTTTAATACATTATATTTTTGTATCATAAGTAATATAGAGATGATTTAAGGTATGTGGAAGCATATACTCAGATTATATACAAATATGCTAGTTTTATACAAGGAATTTGAGCATCCTTAGATTTTGATATCCATGGAGGATCCTAGAACCAATCTCTCAGATAGAAAGGATCAACTATATTTGGTTTCTGTTGGGCATATCAGGCTTCTTTGAAGCACAGATTTCTGTACATCTTTTTTTTTTTTTTTTTTTGGTCTTTTTGAGACAGGGTTTCACTGTGCAATCTAGGCTGGCCTTAAACTCATTTTGTAGCCCAGGCTGGCCTCGAACTCACAGTGATCCTCCTGCCTCAGCCTCCCAAGTGCTAGGATTACAGGCCTGTGCCACCATGCCCAACCTGTCTAATTGCTTTTTTATTTTCGTGGTCCTGGGGATTGAACCCAGAACCTTGTGCAAGGTAGCCAAGGCCTCTACCACAAGTTGTGTCTGTAGCCTTTTTTAAATTTTGAGACAGAATCTGACTACTTTGCCAAGGCTGGCCTTGAACTCATGATCCTCCTGCTTCAGCCTCCTAAAGCTGTGACTACAAGCATGTGCCATAACTCCTGACTATACTTGCCTCTTTCCCAGAGTGGTTTTCCAAATAGAGAAAAATAGAGGTCTTCAAATAAGTTATTTCTAAACTTCTTCTCCACCATAAACGTCTCTGTGATCACGTAAGTCCTTTCTTCTTTGCTTCTTTTTTGTTTTTGTTTTGTGGTACTGGGTATGTAAGCAAGGCCTTAGCACTGAGATACATCCCCAGCCCTCTTTTTATTTTTTATTTTGAGACAGGGTCTCAGTAAATCACTAAATTGCCCAAGCTGGGCTTGAATCTGAGATCCTTTTACCTCAGTCTCCTAGCATGATGGAATTACAAGCCTGTGCCACCAGGCCTGACTTCCATCCTGACTTTTGTATCTAAGGTGGATCTATCCCGCCTCTGCCTTCTTGGACTTTGCTTCATATTCTTTTCCTTTTCCTGTAAGTTCAAAATATTCATTTCTCCATTGGCTCTTACTCTTTAACACAGTATCAAACCTTCTGCCCAGCTTAGAGAGAGAAAACTTCCTTAGACTACATCTCCCTTTAAACTGGACCACATCTCCCTTCTCAGCCAAAGGGTTGGGCAGAGACAACCTCAGTTCCTGCTTGGCTTGCTCTCCTGCTATTCATGTCCTTTCCCACTGGCTGCTGGCCTGCTTCTCACACACATTCCCAAGCCCGGAGCTGCCATAGCCAATGGTGTGGGCTAGCTTTCCAGCCTTCCCACAGCATGTGACTCTCTGTTCATTAGGGTAATAAATATTGAGTGCCTACCGATCAGGCACTGTGCCAGGTGCTGCTGCTGCTGCAGAAATGCGAAGAAGACACGGTTCCCGTTCTCATGGGACTCACCTGATCAGCCTCACCTGATCAACTCATGTCACTTGATGTCCCCTGCTCACCTCTTCATGCCACTTTAATCTCCCTGCTCTCCAATCTCCTTCCTTCCCTCCCCCATTCCTTTCATCTTAAGGTAACCACTTTGACACCCACAACTTCAATTACTTTCTCTCTGATAAAAATATACCTTTAACTGTTGATTTCATTTAAAAGTTTTATTTTATACAAGATACCCATTTCCTAAAACTGTAGATTCCATGTTGCTCCATGAAAGTAGTCACTAAGAAAAGTAAGATTGTTAGCATGCAAGTTTTAAGAAATTTCTCCCAACTGCTCTGTTTTGGTTTGAGTTAGTTTGTGTGTTTTTTTCTTTGTTTTGTTTTGTTTGTATTTTTGAGACAAGGTCTCGCTATGCAGTTCAGGCTGGACTTGAGCTCACTTTGTAGCCCAGGTTGGCCTCAAACTTGCAACGATCCTCCTGCCTCAGCCTCCTGAGTTCTGGGATTACAGGCGTGTGCCACCATGCCCAGCTGTGTGTTATTTGTGAAAACACAAATTGGAATGTCACAAATTGGACTTAGCTTACGGAGATTTATATCCAACTTTTAATCAGAGAGCTCCATTTTAATATGCTACTTAGCAGAAAAAAAAAACTATCTGCCACCCCTATATCTCTTCCCACATTTTTTAGTCTAAAAGATGGCACTGTTACATACCTGGTCCCCCAAATCAGAACCTCAGCAATCTTTCTACCTCCTATTTTTCCACCTCCTCCACAACCAGTCAGCAAGTACTTCCTATTTTGTCTCCCAAATGATCACACATCTTTCCCTCTTCTGTCACTGCCAGTGCCTTTTGAGTGAATCCTTTCTCCTCTGCTAGATGAACATGATCTCTTCATTGGTCCTATTGTGGTCTTTAACCCTTCCTTATTGTCCAGAGTGAGCTCATCACACACATTTCTGATAGTGACACCTTAATTTCACATCGCTGAATGACGCTTACACTTCTAGGTTAAAATTCAAACTCTGCTCAGGCATCTGCTTTGGAGTCAAATAGATCTGGGCTTACATTCCAGCAGTGTGACCTCAGACGACTGGACTCCCCCAAGCCTTTGTTTCTCATCTCCCCGACTCACTGAGGGATTGGGACTGTTTGACACGCAGTATTTGGCACCTAGACGGAACTAAATCAATGTTGAGTGAAAGGAAGGCATTTAAAATCCACGTGAAAAACCGCTTTTCCTTAAAACAAAATAAGCCCTAGTATTCACTGTCATTTCCCCCGAGTTTGACTTCTACTTTTACTTTCACATAATCAGGACAAGGTGCTTATGGGAAACCAGACTGCCTAAGACCCACTTTATCCCAGCCTCACCCTGAGCAGTCATGTGACCTTGGGAAAGTTACACCTGCCGCCTGCTTTTCAAGTTTCTTCTGTAAAATTTAAGATGGGATTGCTTTTGAGGGTTAAGCGACTGTCTCAGTGGGAACAGCATCGGGCACATAATGCTAAATGTTAACTGTCCTTTATCAACTTTATGGATAGGACCTTGCTACCCTACTTTATGCTTCTCAATTTTGTAGAAGAAAAATTATGCTTATGCAGTGTTAGTAATGGGAGGAAAATCTGGAAACTCCTGCTGTTAGCGAGAAACAGGCGAGAAAAGAGAGCTGCCAGGCACCCCTTTGGTCCTCATGCTATAGGCGAGGAAATAGAAGGGTGATGTGTCCGACGGGTCTTCGGGTCCCATTCAAGACATACAGCCACAACGCCGCCGAACGCAGCAGCAGAGCTCCGGGGCTTGCTACGGTCAAGTTGCAGGCGGAGGGGAACCAAGGCTGGAGAGGAGTCTTTAGTTGCAAAAACTGCCACCAATCCGGAGGTAACCTCCGGTAACTAACTTCAGCGGGCAAATGAAAGCTGTCCAACTCGGAGACACCAGAGCTGTACTAACTGTGGCTTTCTGTAAAGTCTGTCCACCCGGACCGCCTCCAGTCACTAAAGGCAGTGAGGCGCCCTGCAGGACCTGAAAGCGCGGGGCAGCGGATGAATGGAAACCGCGCCTTGCCCCGCGCCAGGGGCGGGGCAGCCGCGGGCGGGGCGGGGCTCTGTGACGTAAGGGCGTGGGCGGGCGCGTGGAGGGAAGCCTGGTTAAGATTGGCTAATGCTGTCCACGTGATCTCAGGCCGTGATCCGGTTGGCAGGTGCTGGCGTAAGGGCTTTCATTTGGGGGGTGTCGGCGGAAAAAGGAGGAGCTCAGACCGCGCTCTCTGCCGGCAGTGGCTGTGCTTCTAGGCGCTAGCCGGGTCCCCACCCCTTTTAAATAAGCCGGGCTGGTCGCCGCCCTCGCAGTCTAGTCAGCTCTGGGGAGGAGGCGGTGGCGTGGAGGTGGCGGCGCGGCCGAGGCCGGAGCCCTGCCCGGGGCCGGGCAGCGGGGTGGACGG